TCTTCGGTATTTCTTTATCAACTCTGCTCGAAGGTTAAAGTTCTCTAAATATGGACATTAGGAAAAGTTTCAACCAGCATCGGTTTTTAGGGCGATTGGCCGATGGACCAAATGCTCATTCTCCCTGGTTTGAATTGGATTGGAGCGTCTTAAAAATGGCCTTAAATTAGCGAACTCGATTCTTCCAGTCATGCAATACAATCGACAAACAAACACTAGAAAACCCAGCGGGAATTTAAAGCAGCAAGTTAATGAAATGAGCAATTAAGGGACAAGACTGTCTCAGCAGCCGTAGGCAGCGAAAGCGTCTGGGGCAGACGCTGAGAAGCTCAAACCAACTGCAAAATAGTTCTTGTTAAGATTTCCGTCAATCTAATGAAATGTTTTCTTTGCAGGATCTTATCAGACAACAAGTTGGACAGTATTCATTCCAATTCCTTTGCCAAAAATACTCAACTGAAAAGACTGTAAGTATCCACCCCCACAGGAATCTTTCGATAGGCTAATTTAATAAAAGTTGCACTATTACGTTCAAGGTTTTATTACAGCGTCTCGTCGACACCTAATTGAAATCCCTTCGGCAATTTTCCCGTAAATTTAATTCTATCTTTCACGGCATTTTTCTTGTCATTAATAACTTTCACACATTAAGTTCGGGCCGACATATTTCATTTGAGCGCTCCCCCGAATATAATCGATTAGCGTTTAATCAAAGTTCACCTGCCAGAAAAACTGTATGAGTTTTTGAGGCAGAATGAGATCTTCACTGCAGCTAAGATTTCCAGGCATGTTTGATTGTTCATTGAAAGTTTTCAGCGAAAACCCGTTTAAGAAACGTTGAAAATTGCTGTTTTTACTTTGTCTTTAAGGGCGCATTTCCGCATAACTATCATGTCTCGTGTGTAAGTCGCCTCAGATAGCACCCAAAGGAATAAAACACAGCACAACATCGTTTTTACGGCCCAAACAACATCCATCCATGCAAGCACAATAATTTGCGGGTGAAATAAAGCAATTGTCGAATGAATTTCCAGCTTTTGGCCAACGCAAAACGTTCTAAGCAATTCGGGGTGATTCAAAGCAGTTTCTGAGATGCGAAGGGCGTTAAATCAACGATAGTCAGTGGGTCAAAGGGAAAGTCGCAGGGTTTATTTGTGCCAGCGATCATAAATAACGCGACTACGTGGATCAAATGACCGAAATGGCCCGAAGCCAAAACGGTTCCACATACTAGAAAAGGATTAAACTTTATCCCTTATCGGGCGCTTTCCATCCCAAAATGGGACGACACTGCGACCTGCATCTATAAGCACCCCTAATGGGGTTATACACTTGCACTTAAAATGATAGTACAATAATAAAGTTGGGCAACAATTGTACATACATATAAAGTGGTTATTAGCGACTCACCCAGAAGAAGAGTAGGTCGCCGCGGTGTTTCTCCAAATCGCTCCCCATAGGGAATAAGGCCAGTTTTCGAAAAAAGAGGTTAAAGAATCCTCCCGGTTTTTATGTTCAGTTGAAGTATGCAAGGGTTCACATGATCGATAATTGAAGGTTTTTGGGCTACAAAGTTAGCAAATATCGCGTAACAAACTAAGTTCGCTGACCCGGCAACACCAGGCGAAAGATTTGGCAGATCGAAGAAATTGCAGTTAAAACCCGTATTTTTGAAATTAGGCAAAGGCGATTAGTTCAAACCTGGTTGTGGAAAATGTACAAAAGAACAGCACAATTAATATAAAATAAACACATTAAAAACAGGGACAAATTGAACAGAAACTTTTGCAATTGAAAATGATTAAGCGAATTTCGCTAACAACCTTGGAAAAATAAAGGCAAATTGAAACACAAAAGACGTCTGGACCAGGACACACTTAAATAGCAATATTTTCATGGGACCATCTATTTTTTTAAGTAGATATTTAACCACAAGACTGCAAACTCGATAACAATTGTTCTGGTGATTGTGCCAGTGCAGCGAAACTTGGAAACATTTCTATTACTGATGTCGGTCTTCCAAATTTCAATTGTGCAACAATTGCCATAATACGATAATCATATTTTTAAAACTTTTTCTGCAAAAAAACAATCACATTTCGAACTGAAATCATTCACATGAAACTAG